GTGATCAGAATTAATAACCTTCTATCCAGATTCAACTGATCTAGTTTAATCCATAGTTTGTTTCTATCAATAGAGTCAAAACCTGCCCCAAAATCCACGAAGGCAACATACATTATCCTGTGGGCATGTTTTACATATTTATTTATCAGATGATCCAATACAAAACCATGATCAATTGTTGAATAATCTGCTCTGAACCCTGCCTGTTCCTCTGCAAGGATATTGTTATCAATGACCCAGTCCTCTAATGTACTAGCTAGATGTTTTGCATAAATTTTAGTTGTAATATTAATTAGACTAATTGGTCTGTAGTTCTCTGGGTGGCTACAATCACCTTTTTTGTATATAGCAATCACTGTGCTTGTATTCCAACCCAAAATAGGCTTCCATCAGACAATATTAGCTTTTAATAAATCACCAGGGATATAGTCTTCTCCACAGGTTTGCCTGATGGCAATGCCAGGATCAGATATTCAATTTCTTTTAAAGAGACGGGGGGCAGGGTGTAGCATCACAGAGTTTTAAATCAATTGGGGAATTAGCTGGAGTGGGATAGGGAGCAAACAGTCTAGTATAATGGTTCTCCCATTCCTCTTTGGACACTCTAGTCTCTAAGATGTTCTTATTTTTCCCCATTTACCAGTTTCCAGAATAATGTTGTGTCTTTAGAATCTATGCCAAAGAGTTGTTTGGTATAATGTCTTCTTATGCTTTAGGAGAAGTTCATATTCCCTTTTCTTCCTAAGCAGTTCTGTAATTACCCATAGGGCACAACTATCTTTTGCTCTCCTTGCCAAATCCCTAACCATGCAACGTGCTATTCTACATTCCATATCAAACCAACAGCTATCTATGTTGTTGGTGAATTGAACTTAATTTAGAGGTGTCCTGCCTTAATTCTGGTTTTAAGTTGTCAACTATTTGTTGATAGTGGCTCAGGATAACTGGAGAACGTGAATCAGCATTAATCAATTTAAGTTGACTATCTGCCAGATGCTTTGAGTGAAGCATTGTAGTGATTTTATCAGCTAAATTTAGAGACCATTTAATTCTTTTTTGGCCTGAAACTTTTAGTGCAGGCATGTGATCATTATGTATTTTCAACATTCCACTATCTTCAAAGCCAGTATACTGGAATGTGATAGGTTGGTGATCACTGCAACCTTGTGGAATAACCTCCATGTTTTGAAATTTTCCTATTTTGGCAGAGGGGATACATACATAGTCAGTTATTGATGTTCATTTGTCGATAATATGTAAAATTACCTGGATAATCTCTAGGGCAAGAGCTATTCAGAATTTGGAAATTCTGTTTGTAAAGTAAATTTAGGTTTAAGCTCTGCCAGGTTTGCTTTAGAGTCCTTCACCATATAAGGGAAAGTAAGGTGAAGTTCATCAATGTCAAGTTTCAACTGTTTTGCTATTTTGTGTTTATCACCCCATATTCCTGCATTAAAATCACCCACTATGATAATAGTATCTAGTGGAAATTTGTCCTCTAGAGCATCAGTTGTATTTTCAAGTGTAGCCCAGTGGTCCTGCTTTTGAGATTCAGCACCTCTAGGAGACATATAAACATTTAATATTATTAGGGCAATCTTACTTGTTATCATAAATCTCAGTATAAGGAAATAGGGATTACTGTCCAGGTTTATTTGCACTGCCTCCAGATTCTACTTCCTATTTAACAACATAGCCAAACCCCCAAAAGGGTGGCCTATAGAATGTAATTTCCTTGCTGGGATGACCCATGATCTGGAACCAGCTAAATAAATTATATCAGACTGGTTTTCTGGGATCCAAGTTTCTTGCAAACATACTATGTCATATAATTTTAGTAACTGTATGAAATCCTTGTCAGTAGTTTGAGCATTCCATCCTGCTATATTCCACGCTAGGATGGATAAGCTACTTACAGATCCCTGACTTAGTCATTTGTTATATTCGGTCCTCTTGTTGTTATAGAATCAGAAGGGCATGCCTCATTTGTAACTTGTGCATTATTAGTATCAGTTTGATTTAACCCGTGGGCAGGTTTGTTTTTATTTATTCTCTGACTACCAGATTAATTTTCTAGATAAGACAAACAGCCCATCAGCTACTGTATCCTGTCTCTCGATAGGAAGGAATATAATCAGTATAATTACCAGTAATTATACTGTAAATATATGTATATGTAAATGTACGTATGTAAAAGTATATGTAAATATGATTTACTGTATTACCAGGAAATCAGTATAATTACCAGTAATTTCATATCTTGGGGTAGGATTAGCCATTGGATCTGGGCATGGTGTTATTTCATCTGAGATATTTAGTCTGACCACATTTGTTTCCTTATTAAATCCAAGGGACAAATTTGGATCTCCTGCCTGCTGGATACCACGTTAATTGGATCTTGGAAAATTAAATGCAGATGGATGCAGGGTTCCTAGATCTCTATGGCAAGGGGCTATATTATCTGCTGTCCCTTGAGGAGGGAAGGCATGTATATTGTTTTCATATAGGGGGTTAATCTCTGCTATTACCTGAATCTGTTTCCCTGTTGAGATTGTAAGATCTATATTATCTTTCTGAAGATAATGTTCATTATGTTTTTGGCTACATTATCCCATGTTACAGGTCTTACCTTTATTCTCCTCCCCTTCTTCCCCTTCTTTTACATTTGCCACTGTCTCATGAATTGATCCCTCCTTTTCAGAGCTTTTAA